GTAACATATAAAGGAAGACTGATCAGAATCACACCAGACTTCTCAACAGATACTATGAAAGCCAGAAGGGCCTGGGTGGATACCGAGTAGACAGTAAGAGACCACAGATGCCAATCCAGACTACTGTACCCAGCAAAATTTTCAATCAACATAAATGGAGAGAAAATATTCCATGACATAACTAAATTTAAACAATATCTACACAGCAACCCAGCCCTTCAGAAGATACTAGAAGGAAAACTGCAACCCAATGAGATCAACTACATCCAAGAAAACACAGGATAAAGGCATCTTCACAACAAAAAAGAAAAAGAAAACAGGCACATAAATACACAATCACCACCAACTCCACAATCATTGATCTTAGTGATCAACGGACTGAATGGACTGAACTCTCCAATAAAAAGACACGGACTAACAGAATGGTTGCAGAAGCAGGATGCAACATTCTGCTGCATCCAAGAAACACACCTCTACAAGAAAGATAGACACTACCTCAGAATAAAGGGATGGAAAAAAGGTTTTCCAAGCAAACAGACCCAAGAAACAAGCTAGAGTAGCTATCATAATACCTAATAAAATAGACTTTCAGCCAAAATTAATCAAAAGAGATGGAGAGGAACAACACTTCATTTTCATCAAAGGAAAAATCTACCAGGAAGACAGTACAATCCTGAACATCTATGCCCCAACCAAAAGGGCTTTTGCATTTGTTAAAAAATCAAAAACATATTTTAGTATGATTATCCTATATTATATGTCTAGGGTATTGAGGCAGATGTTGAGACTCATAGCCAAACTTTGGGCAGAGTACAGGGAATCTTATGAAAGAAGTGGGAGATAGTCAGACCTGGAGAGGACAGGAGCTCTATAAGGACAGCAACAGAGCTGGAGAGATGGCTCAGTGGTTAAGAGCACTATTTGCTCTTCCTAAGGACCCGAGTTCAAACCCCAGCACCCACATGACAGCTCACAACTGTCTGTAAATCCAGGCCTGACACCAATGCACATACAATAAATAAAATAAAAAAAAGGACAGCAACAGAACCAAAATGTCTGGGTACGGGGGTCTTTTCTGAGACCAATACTCCAGCCAAGGACCACTCATGGGTATGGCCTGGAACCCCTGCACACAGGTAGCCTATAACAGTTCAGTATCCAAGTGGCCTCCATAGTAACGGGGACAGGGACTGTCTCTGACAGGAACTGATTGGCCTACTCTTTGATCACCTCCACCTGAGGGGGGAGCAGCCTTCCCAGGCCACAGAAGAAGACAATGCAGCCACTCCTGATGAGACCTGGTAGACTAGGATCAGAGGGAAGGGGAGGAGGACCTCCCTTTTCAGTGGACTGGAAGAGGGACATGGGTGGGGAAGAGGGAGGGTGGGTTTGAGAGGGGAGGAGGGAGGAAGTTACAGGGGAAACAAAGTGAATAAACTGCAATTTAATAAAAATAAAAATAATTTTAAAAAGATAAAAAAACAAAAACAAAAATTTAAAAAAACCAAACCAAACCAAACCAAACCAAACTAAACCAAACCATTATTAAAGCTTAAATCACACATCGATCCCACACATTAATAGCGGGAGACATCAACATCTCACTCTCACCAAGGAACAAATCATCCAGAGAGAAGCTAAACAGAGAAAAAAAATGATGCTTACAGGGGTCTTAAGTCAAATGGATCTAATAGATGTCTACAGAACTTTTTACCCAAACACAAAAGAGTATACCTTCTTCTCAGTACCTCAGAGAACCTTCTCCAAAATTGATCATATAGTCACGCACATGGAAACTGAATAACTCTCTCCTCAAGGACAGCTGGGTCAGGGAAGAAATAAGGAATGAAATTAAAGACTTTCTACAATTCAATGAAATTGAAGGCACAACATACCCAAACTTATAGGACACAATGAAAGCAGTGCTAAGAGGAAAGTTCATAGCACTAAGTACTATCATAAAGAAATTTGAGACATCTTATACAAGCAACTTAATGGCCCACCTGAAAGCCCTAGAAAAAAACAAAGAAGCAGACACACCCAAGAGGAGTAAACAGTTGGAAACAATAAAACTCAAAGAAGAAATCAATAAATTAGAAACAAAGAGAACAATTAAAAGAATCAATGAAACCAAGAACTAGCTCTTTGAGAAAATCAACAAGGTAGACAAACCCTTAGCCAAACTAACTAAAAGGTAGAGAGACATTATCCAAATCAACAAAATCAGAAATGAAACGGAGGACGTAATAACAGACACTGAGGAAATCCAAAGAATCATTATGACTCTACAAAAAAGCCTATATGCAATTTGAAAAATTTGAAAATCTAAATGAAATACACAATTTTCTTGATATATTCCATTTACCAAAGTTGAATCAAGATCAGGTAGATAAATTAAATATCCTATATCCCTTCAGAAAGTAGAAGCAATCCTCAAAAGTCTTCCATCAAAAAAAAAAAAAAAAAAAAAAAGCCCAGGGCCAGATGGTTTCAGTCCAGAATTCTACCAGATCTTCAAAGAAAACCCAATACCAATGCTCCTCAAACTATTTTACAAAATAAAAATGGAAGGTACATTATCAAACTCATTCTATGAGGCTATAGTCATTTATAGCACACAAAGACCCAAAAATGAAAGAGAATTTCAGACCAATATCTCTTATGAACATTGATGTAAAAATACTCAATAAAATGCTTACAAACTGAATCTAAGAACACATCAAAGATATCCACCATGACCAAGCAGGCTTCATCCCAGGTGTTAAGGTGTGGTTCAATATATGGAAATCCATCAATGTAATTCGCCATGCAAAGAAACTGAAAGAAAAAAACCACATGATCATCTCCTTAGATGCTGAAAAAGCATTTGACAAAATCCAACATCTATCCATGTTTAAAGTTTTGGAGAGATCAGGGATATAAGGCACATACCTAAACACAGTAAAGGCAATATACAGCAAGCTTGTAGCCAACATCAAAATAAATAGATAGAAACTGAAATCAGGGACAAGTCAAGGCTGCCCACTCTCTCCATATCTCTACAACATAAAATTGGAAGTCCTAGCTAGAGCAATAAGACAACTAAAGGAAATAAAGGGGATACAAATCAGAAAGAAAGAAGTCAAAGTATCACACTGTTTGAAGATGAAATGATAGTATACTTGAGTGACCCCCAAAAATGAGAGAGATGAACTCGTACAGGTAATAAACACCTTCAGCAAAGTGGCAGGATACAAAATTAACTCAAAGAAATCAGTAGCCGTCCTGTATACAAAAGAAAAAAGGCTCAGAAAGAAATTAGGGAAATAATACCCTTCATAATAGACACAAATAACATAAAGTACCTTGATGTAAATCTAACCAAGCAAGTAAAAGACTTGTATAAAAAACAAAAACAAAAAAATTCAAGTCTCTGAAGAAAGAAATTGAAGAAGTTATCAGAAGATGGAAAGATCTCTCGTTCTCATGGATTGGAAGCATTAATATAATAAAAATGGTCATCCTACCAGAAGCAATCTACAGATTCAACGCCATTTCCATCAAAATACCAACACAATTCTCACAGACCTTGAAAGAACATTTCTCAACTTCATATGGAAAAACAAAAGATCCAGAATAGCTAAAACAATCCCGTTTGAAAAAAGATCTTCTGAAGGTATCTCCCCAAAAGGAGACCAACAAAGCCAAAGCCAAAGCCAGAGCCAGAGCCAGAGCCAGAGCCAGAGCCAGAGCCAGAGCCAGAGCCAGAGCCAGAGCCAGAGCCAGAGCCAAAGCAAGCAAGCAAGCAAGCAAGCAAGCAAGCAAACAAACAAACAACAAAACAAAATCCACAACCAAAGCTGCGTCTAAGGGAGGCTGCAGAGACTGACACATCAACCAAACACCATACATAGAGAGGATCTAAATCCTGCTCAGATTTTGCCCATAGACCGCTCAGTCTCCATTTAGGTCCTCTAGTAAAGGAGAAGAGTCTCTGACATGAACTCAGTTGCCTGCTTTTTGATCACTTCTCCCTGGTGGGAAGACCTAGCTAGCTCACAGAGGAAGAGGATCCAGACAGTCCTGATGAGACCTGTTAGGCTAGGGTCAGACAGTAGGGGAGGAGGACTTCCCCTATCTGTAGACTAGGGAAGAAGGTAGGGGAGGAAGAGGAAAGGAGGGTGGGACTGGAAGGAGATGAGAGAGGGGGCTACAACTAGTATACAAAGTGAATAAATTGTAAATAGTAATAAAATATATACAGATAACTAAAACAAAATGGAGCTCTTCTTCATTCTGATGATCCAGTAAGAGTATTTGGGCACTTTTGCTCTGGTAGATAGGGATTAGAAAACCCAATCCTATATGCAAGGGACACTCTGCGTCAGAGAGAAACACTTTTATACATTGATTTTGAAAAATTTTAGGAGACTTTCTGGAAATTCTAATTTCTCTGTAGGAAACACATGCATAAGTACACTAATACACATGTTTTAGCCATGATACCTAGAGTCCAAACTTGTGAAGGTATTTTAATGTTAATTATAATCAATTTTTGAAGAAGTTAACCTATTTGAAAGGAAATAAGCAAAAAATTTGTATTTCACCACCGATGTCTTAAATAAACAATTTTCTCCTAAGAATAATTACACTGACTTTTAGTGGGCTCTGTTAGACATTTTTACTTTTTACATTTTTGCTTATGTCCACATCATCTTATGCCCGTCATAGAAACAATCTCAATGAGGTCTATTGGAACTAAGTCCAAAACCCTAATGAAAAAGAAGAAACAATGAACTACCATTTCCCTTTTGTTATTCTGACCAAAGTCACCTTGTTTTTCTTCTTCCTTTCAGTTCCAGATAATACCTTCAGGGAGAGGGTAAAAAGTGTCCTTGGGATTCACATTCCTGGCACACTCCCGTATGCCAATGTTGCTGGTTAATTTTTAGTAAATCAGAGAAGAGCTCTTGCACAGCCACCACCCCTTTCAGAGATACCAATAAGTGCAAAGTTCTGCATCATTCATAGTAAGCATCCATCCAGAGGGCAGCAGACTTCTTCAAAGACCTGGAAAGAAAACAGAGTTGTCAGAAAGAGAACTCAGTGCAAAGGAAATCCACATGAAACATTTATCAGATACATTGCTTGCTTTCTTTTTTTTCTTTTCTTCTTTTTAAAGTTTATTTATTTTTTTTTTATTCATTTTGTATCCTGGTTGTGGCCTCATCTCTCCTCCTCTCCCAGCTCCACCCTTCTTCTCTCCTCTGTCCCCAATTGCCTATTCCTCAGAAAAAGGGAGCTCCCTTTCCCATCCACCCCAGCTCATCAAGTTGCATCAGGACTGAGCATCTCTTCTTCTATAGTCCGGCAAGGCAGTCCCAAGTGATCAAAAAGCTGGCAAGTGGGTCCATATAAGATGCAGTCCCCACTTCCCTTACTAGAGGACCCACATGAAACCTTAGCTACCCATCTGCTTCATCTTTGTACGTAGCCTAGGTCCTGTTCATGCATGGTTCTTGGTTGATTTTTCAGTCTTAGCAATCTCCTCTGGGCCTTGATTATTTCTCCCTGTTGGTTTTCTTTTGGAGTTCCTATATTCTCCAGGTTCTTTACTTTTTCCTTTCACTTTTCCACAAGACTCTCTATGCATAGCCTAATATTTGGCAGTGACATTCAGCAACTTTTTGAGGTGCTGCTGCATAGAGTCTTTTAGAGGACAACCTCAACAGGCTCCTTTCTGCACGTTTAGCTGAGTATCATTCATACTGTCAGGCATTGGCTCTCTCTCATAGGGTGGGTCTTTGGCATTGTTTGGACATCCCCTCAGTCTCTGCTCTATATTCCTGCACATCCCTCACAAAACCCAATTCCAACTGGATCAAAGATGTCCATATAATACCGGATACACTAAATCTATTAGAAGAGAAAGTGGGAAAGAGCCTCGAACTCATTGCCACAGAAACAGAACACCAACAGCTCAGGCTCTCAGATCAACAAATGGTAAGTGGAACTTCTTGAAATTGAAAAGCTTCTGTAAGGCAAAGAATACTGTTAACAGAACAAAAAGACAGTCTACAGATTGGGAAAAAGATCTTCACCAATCCTACATCCAGCAAAGGGCTAATATTCAAAATAGGTAATGAACTCAAGAAATCAAACACCAATAAACAAAATAACCCAATTTAAAAAAATGGGGTACAGAACTAAATAGAGAATTTTCAATAGAGGAATCTCGAATGGCCCAGCATCACTTAAGGAAATCCCCAACTTCCTTAGTCATCAGCGAAATGCAAACCAAAATGACTCTGAGATTCCATGTCACACGGGTCAGAATGGCTAATATCAACATCTCAAACAATAGGCATGTGCTAGAGCGGGGTTGGAGAAAAGGGAGCCCTCCCGAATTGCTAGTGGGAATGTAAACTTGTACAACCATTTTAGGAATCAATCTGTCACTTTCTGAGAAAATTGGGACTAACTTTACCTCAAGACCTAGCTATACTGCTCCTGAGTATATTCCCAAAAGATGCTTTGTTATACAACACAGATACTTGCTCAACTATGTTCATAGTGTTTTATTAGTAATAGCCAGAACCTGGAAACAACCTAGATGTCCCTCAACAGAAGAATTGATAAAGAAACTGTGGCACATTTATACAATGGCATACTATTCAGCTATTAAAAACAAAGAAATCATGAAATATGCTGGAGAATGGATGGAGCTAGACAGACCCAAAGACGATAAATAACAAGGAGAATCCAAGGGAGGATGCATAAATCTCACTTGGAAGGGGAGATAGAATAGCAAGTTAGTGGTTGAAATGAGGCAACAAGGTAGCAGAGAGGCAGTAGAGAGTTAAAAGCATGGGGATTAGACTTGGGGAGAGCGGGGGGGGGTGAGAGGACAGAAGGCCTGTAGAGAAAAGAGAAACTGAGGGTGGGGTTATCTCTGTGACAAGCTGAAGACCTCAGTCAGGGTAGGATCCTAGTAGGATATGAGGGGGATTCAAGCAGGTACCTCTAGTAGCAGAGACCATAGAGACTGAAGAGGACATCCTCTAACTAGACTGTCTCCTAGTAAAGGAAGGGGAACACCAAGCCATCCACAAAAACTTTGACCCCATTGCTTATTTTAAAACAATATAGTTTGTGGTCATATTTGATACTGTGAACCAGGAAAGGGGTCATTGAATTGTTCTCAGCAGATAAATTTGCCCCCCCCTTTTTTCAGGGGGAAAGTTTGAGTTTCATTTTCATTTTATTCCATTCAATGCCATGTATGTAAATATCAGGTCATACCGTCTTCACCTACCTACCCTCTTTTAAAATGCTGAAGATATAGTTTTAGGATCCAGGAATGTAACATCAAAACAGACAGAAAGGAATCCTGTCCAGATAGACTTGAAAGATAAATATTAAATAATTGTTCACTCAACAAGCTATTTAATCAAGGTTGTGATAAGGATAGATTTTGTTTTGAGACCAGTAAAGGGAAAAATTGCCATGAGCCTTAGAGAGTGGTTTGTAATTAAGACGGGAAAATCAGAGGTGGTATTTTGAGGAGTGTTGCAGGAGAAAAAGTGGCAACGAAATGAGATGTACAGGGAGTGTTCAACAACTGAAGGTAGACCAGATATCTATATGACAGAGAAGATGATGAAGATGGCAAGACTGAAGGAATCAGATAAGATGTGGCTATTGTGGCCTTAACAATATCCTTCCCCCCCTTTTAAAAAAGAACATAATTAAACTCAAACCAGTGGTTGTAAATTTGTCCACTACCACGTCCTGCATGAAAATCCATGTGTATGCATATGATTTTTCTGATAGACTCACTGCACATTGCTGGTTACCTGGTCTGATCATTACACCACTCTATATATTAACAATTTCTCCAGTGGACCAGAAGCTTCGGTGATCCTTAATAGCATATTAAATTCTAAAGCATGTCCAGAGATCTATGGTGAATACAAAGACAAATCCTACATGGATATGAAAGGTCACTAGGGGATTTCTACTAAGAAATTCCTAGAATCTAGTAGGTAAATGCTAAATATTTATGTTTCATTATTATTGTTGATACTGGTGTCTCTTAACATGGTTGTAATATGGAAAATTCAAAAGCTGCTGAATAGTTTGGGGGCTGGGAAGAAAGGAAAATGAGAGCTATGAGCAAAGGTGAGTTATGTTATTACCTGACAATATCTCCAAATGCCTTCAATATGGGCTTACTTATATATTGCAGTCCATGCTTGTCACACAGAGACTTCACCAGTGGGGCCACTTTGTGGTAATTATGGCGTGGCATTGTGGGGAAGAGACTAAGGAAAAAAACAAGAGAAGTGGAACTTACACATAAAGAGAAATCAAAAATGAGTTTTATTTCCAAATAAAATCATCCTTGAATGCAGACCCAGCCTTAACCTTGTACAAGTCTTCTGGTAAGTCTAGAAGTTCTAGTAATTCAGTTCTCCTACTCTTATCTTTCAATATCTCTGTAATCCATGTGGATGGCAAGTGTTTGGGAAATGCTAAGAGAATAAATATGAGCTGCATTTAATATGCTTATTGCTGGCCAGGGCAAGTGAAAACATGAATTAGTTAGCATTTTGAACTTTTCAGGAGAGCAGGAGGTCATGTCTCTTCCACCCTTGTTTTCTGTTCTTCCATTCTGCACCACTGAATAGCTAAGTATTCACTCAGATCTAGTGACATCTAAATGGAAGTCCTCAGATTGGAACTTGAGGCAAGAAGGCAAGGTCTGGCACATACCAGCCAGGTAATCTTCCTTGACCTGATACCTTCTTCAATAATGTATGAATTATGGCTCTACTTTTGTTAGGGTGTTCTAGGATTTACAAAGAATAGAGAACGAGAAAACAGCATTAAGAGCATAAGTGCTCTTTCTTTCTCTGATTCCTAGATGTAGCTTCACAGAAGAAAATGTGAAAGGAATCTTGCTGAGTATTCTGAGGGAGATCAGCTATCCAAGTGTTATCATTTTCCATTTTTTTTTATTGTATGTCCACTTAACTGATTAATTGGAAGAGTTTCTTCAGATTCATTTGGGAATCTCAAAAGTGACTAGATTTCATTACTGAGTATTTTATAACTTTGTACCTAACTTGATAGTTTCATTAAATTGTGCTTAAATTTCAATAAAACTTGGTCACTCAATTACTGTAATTTTTCTTAAGCTTTCTTAACAAACTAAATATGCATGGACACATATACTCACACATCCACATACCTTCCTCTGACTCATAGACATTACCAGTTCTTAAGATTCAGAATATATGGAATCTAAGTTACTGGTCCATTTCTATGATTTGACTTCACTCTCCATTACTGTTAGAGCCTCCTTCTCTCCCTCTCAAGCCAGTCATTGGCACTGATGGGTAGCACTCTTTAGAAAACCCTGGTTAAACTTTTTAATTCTCTGAGACTCTTTGCTGAATGGTTGCAGGCTGTGCTATATTGGGCGCAGTTAAGGGTCAGCCATTGCTCCATGACGGAGCATTTGCATCACTCACTGGTGTTCAATTTGGAAGTTCAAATGTCCAGTGAACCAGTCATTGAAAAAGGACTGTTCAATATTACAGGTGGCCACAATCTGCAAAGAAACAGCTTGCATTAGCTACAAGTAAGCCTAAGTGTCAAATAAATGCTAATTATTTGATGTAAATCAATTAAGACACATGGTTATTATTTTTACCTTTTAGTAGCTAAGAGTTATATACAACAAAGTCCCAGCCTTCAAGAAGTTTACCAATGAAAAATACTAAGACATTTTGCTAAAAAGTATATATAAAGCAGTAGATATGAAGAAATATGTAGGATTGAAGGAGAAAATTAGACAATCATTCCTTAGCCCAGAAGGCTATGCTCTCATGGATGACAAGTTTGATTGCTGCAGAGGGGTTTTTAGGATTGTTGTGAAAGTGTATGGTTAGGTTAGGACTTGAGGTCTTCTGAGTGAGATTAAGAAATAAAATATTAACGAAGTTCTTTTGTAGTAAAATCACAGGGTTAAGAAACAAGTAAAGAAAACGTTTATAACATATATTATAGGAAAAATTTTAAAAGCCTTGCTTTAAAAGATGTTATCTAAAACATATTAATTCTCACATAAAAAGGTCAAGGTGGCTGGGAAACAATTCACGTAAAAAGAAATGTATATCCATTAAGAAAGTGTCTAGTCTACCCAATGACTGAAGATACAGCGGTAGCTTCCAGGCCAATCACCCGAGAATCCTTCTTATGGATGGTAAGGGGTGGGGTCCCTCTGATTGCCAGGGTACAAATCATCCTATAATTTTGAGTCTTAGATTCACTTGAAAGGCTGTGTCATATGAGTGGTTACAATAGAAAGTCATTTCACATTTTCTATAAATTCCCAGGTAATATACCTTTTATTAGACTTTTATTTTTAAATACATTTACATTTTAAGCATTAAAGTAGAATTATATCACTTTCCTTCTTCATTTTCCTCCCTACACTCCTTCCCAAGTACCTTCTCTAACTCCTTCCATGTCTCACCCTATTCTCAAAATTCTAGCCTTTCTTGGTTATTATTGTAACATATATATGTCCATGTCTGAACAAGTATATAAATATAACCCACTGAGTCTTTTTAATGTTTGTGTGTATAGTTTCAGGTGTGATCGCTTTGTATTCAATAAAGGAGTGGGGTATAGTTTTAATAGTAAATCTTTAACATTGACATCAATGTTAAATTTTGTTATAGCATCAAAGAGACCATGGATAAATATGTATAAATACTCAAATATAAACATGACCCAGTAAAACTTTATATACACAATCAATCAGTGGTTCAGATTTGGCTGCTGAATTTTAGCTGAATAACTTTGCAGGAAATACTTTGCAGGAAAGACTATGATCAAAGTTCTTAGGTTTAAAACTTGCTGCTCTCACTTACTAGATTTGTGACCATATACAAGTTACCAAACTTTTTCACAAGTCAGTTTTATCATGTTGTAAAGTAAGAATAATCATTGTGTCCACCTTGTGTAGTTACGTGCAAAACATTTCACTTGTCCTCAGGAAAGTATTCTGTGAAGGTGAGTTATTAGTATTCTTATTTAAGGTAAGCAGGCTCTCAGCCAGCCTGGTTGGAAGAATTGTCCCTCGGAAACGCCATCATCACCTGAGTGCTGAGCCAGTCGAGGTTCTCTTCTCTGCTCATTTTCATTGGTATGTGGCTCATCTGGGTAACATAGGCAATCCAGGGGCTCTCAATAAGCCTTTGGAGGAATAAAAACAGAGAGTAGTAACTCCTTTAAGTGTGTTCTAGTTGCAGTCACCTAGGTTTCATGACCTCTGGCTAAACGGCCAAACACTAGAGGAAATTAAAGAGGTTATAAGGTTCTAGTAGCTATCTATTTCTTCTTTGAATGCTGTTCCTAACTAGTGTTGGGACACAAGTACTTGCCAATATGCTTTGTCCCATTTCACAACTCAGAGCACTGCTGGCAAATATTCTACTCTAGCTTTGGTGTAAGGATAAGAGATACCGGGGGCTGAATGCTTGCCTGGTATGCATGAAGCCCAGTTCAGTTCCCAGCACAAGAAAAACATTACCAGCTTCTCTAAGAACATTTGTAAAGTAATTGAGGGTTTGCCACCAGATAGAGCTGGGTTCAAGTTCTGTCTTGGCACCAGTCTTGGCCCTTACTTGTCTGTCACCTTAGGGCAGGTGATTCAATCTCTCCAAGCTTTAGTTCCTTGAGCAGAAAGAAAGAAGATGATACCATCTACATTGTAAAGCTGTGTGGGGATTACGTCAAGCCCTTAACCTATTGTCTGATGCATAGTTGCTCTCATTATCCTTACAACTAACAGGGGTTTAGTATAGTGATACAATGAGATGAGAAAGAAACAAATTAGAAGTTTGGAAAGGGCTATATATGTAAAATAGTGGTTTGAAGCCATTTTGGTTTTGGGAAAAATTTCTAGTCATGACAGAGCATAAAATTTTCTTTCCCTATCATATTCTTGGCACGGTTCTTTGTTTCTATTGTCAAAGCAGCTTAAGTTATAATGGCCTTAGAGAACAACTGACTTGGCTTCATGGGTCATCTGAGAAAATGGGGAAAAATCAAGTTGGGCAAATTCTTCTTAGATGAAACTTGTGTTATTCCACCACTTGAACTGCTACCTTTTGGTTTGCTCTCAAACTTCTCACGGGAGTGGGTTGCATTGTCATCATATTTTGCTAACTACAAATAGATCTAGAAGAAGAGTGTAATACAAATAAGAGAATATTCTTACTTGACCAAATATATGAGCAACACCGTTCCGAAAATTCCATAGAAAGGGCCAAATGTGATGAAATATCGAATGTAAAAGCTGCTAACCCAAGCAATGTCCTGCAGAGATAAAGTATTTCCGTTAGAATCCTTGAACACGGTTTTAGATCCTGTTTTGGGCACTGTCTCATTCGGATGAAGCTACAGCTGGAAACACTCCATGCTCTCAACCCATTTTCTATGTGGTCTAGGTTGAGGAAGTGGGATGCGCCACTCACCGCCCAGTACTTTCGAAGGTACATCACTTGCATGGATTGGAAATTGAAGTAGACGGGCATAAGTAGAGGAAGTGCAACTGGAAAAGATTAAAAAAAAAAAAGGGCCAATGAGCAATGTGGACCCTAGTGCAAGCCAGTGTGTGTTTACTTCTTCTGTATGCCCTTCTCAAAGTGCTGCCCTTCAGAAGGGGCTCAAGGTGTACATCCAGAACAACATCCTGAGCTTTTCCTACCTCAGCTAAGGAAGGCCTTTGGCCGACAGTTCCAGGTTCAAGTCTCCTGAAGTAGTGCATGAAATATTGAAGGAAAGAGTCATTTTGGTAGACATTTCCCCCAGTCTTCTGTTCTGAGCTTTCAGGGTTTCCCAAGTCCTGGAGTATTTTAGGCCTTTTATGTCCTCAGAGTGGGTTTTGTTATAATACATTGATAAAAGAATGAGGTCAGTATACTTATTTCCCGATATATACCTGATTTTGTCACAGCACCAACACGGCTTCCAAGACCACAAAGCAATCTCAGGGAGACCCTTAGGCTTTGAGAAATGTCTTTTCCCTGGCCAAGCTTTAGTTAGCTTCCTTTGGGCTTTGTCCTCAACTAAATCTCAGGCTTGACCAGCTAGGATTACCAATTACCAGCACAAATGATTTCACACATACCCACTGTAGCAGCCCAAAGCCAGAACAGCCCAATCTCCTTAAGGTTCCTGCTTGGGAAAACCAAATGATGTCATAATAATTTGCTTTGTACCATCCAACCTGACAAGAATAATCTGGCATCATTTTTCTTAGAGAATTAGTTTAGATTATATATAAATGCAAATTATTTCTCTCTTCCTTTGAGATGTTTTGTTATAACTCGAAGGCCAGATGGCCTTCCTTTTGAAATATTAAGAAGAAGGCCCCTGTTTCCTAGGGGGACCAGAGCCCAGCAACAATAAGCACTGTCTACAAACAGAGATGTCTAATTGTTTCACACTCCTTCCTCCTCCCTGACAACACCTTTTAGTACATATTTTTTTTTTTTTAGTATTTGGGAAGTCTTCCTCTCATCATTTGTTTCAGCAGAATTAACTTCAGCTCGTACTGAAGTTTTTATTTCATTTTGCATTGGTCTGAAAAGAATTTTCCAAGTCATCTTTAACAGTGTATGGCTATGTTTTTATGTTTTTGTTTTCTTTTTTTGTAACAAATTGAGCTTGACTTATCTATACCTGAGTGGCTCAGCTGGTATTCCAAGGGATGGGACACCAGGAAACTGTTGATGGTTTGTGATATGTGGAGTGAATTTATACCCTATACTCATTCCCCATAAGCTTAGAGCATACTTCACTACTACAGAGACATGGTATTACTTAGTCAAGTTCAGAAAATAAACTTCTTTTTTGTGTGAAGCTACATTTCCACTTAGGCTGGTATCGGCTACCTTTTGAAATGCAGCACAAAAAGGATGCAATAATGGGTGCAGGGTGGAGAGGCTGAATGCCAGTGTGGAGGAGAGACTGGATGGGTCGGCCCACTTGACAGGTAATTCATTCAGGGGCCATCTTCTATAGCTCTGTTACAAGCGACCACTAGTCAGCTACGTGGGCAAATAAGAACACGTGGTGGCTTCTAGGCCTCAGAAGTTCTGAATTATAGGTAATCATTTATAAAGCTATTCTTGTGTGTTGCAGCCTTTTTGAATTTATCCCCATCCCCCTCCATACTGGGAAGCAAAAATGTCTCTAGACCTTGTTCAGTTGTCCCCTGGGAGAAAAATATTCTCAGTTGATGACCACTGTTAAACAGGCTGTGTTTGTTTTCTTCCCTGATATTGGTTTGTTTTCCAAATGTGCAAGTCTGTGTCAGATGAGTAGATTTAGAATTTACTTGAAAGCTTGTTTATAAGTCACCAGAAGTTTGATTTTATTTGATAATAATAATATTGGTATTAGAATTACTGAACTAAATGGTTTTGCTTTCAGGCTTGGCAAAATGGTGTTCTATCTATCTATCTATCTATCTATCTATCTATCTATCTATCTATCATCTATCTAGTGTGTATGTATGTATATATATGTCTATGTATCTATTATCTATCTCTCAATCTATCTATATCTTTCAATCTATCTGCCATCTATCTACCTATGTATTATGTATGTATATATGTCTATAAATATCTTAACTATCATTTAAGGGTTTTGTGCATATGTTACAGCTGTTTGCTGAAAGTTACAAGCTTTCTTCCATGTACAAACTTTCTTTATGCTCTTTACTCTTGGGTCTATTTTTTCTTCCTACAAAAATGTTATTTTTTTCAATATCAGAATTTTCTAAGACAAGGATTCTTGACTCCCTGATTACTATTCTGCTTTCTGACCCTCTTTCAGAATATCTTTTCTTCCTTGCCCAATATCTAGTACGATGGGACACCTGTAGAAATGCCTGTTTTCTTTTTCACTTTCATTTTCATATTTTCCCACCAGTGAGTCTGAAATAAGATCTGTTATTTTATCATTAACAAATCAGATAGGAAAAAACTCAAATCAGATATGGGTTGGTTTCTGTGAGATAGTTCTAATAATGTCTTCAGCTTGACTAGTGTTTATAAGAAAAGTAGCTTCAGGAGACTCACCCATGTAGAAGTACAGGTGCTGCTTCTCATAATCAATGTATTTTATTTTCTTCTTGCCATACTAAAAGGACACAGAATGAAGGAAAGAGTCATTATTCTCCAGCACGTGCTGGGGGGGGATAGGTATAATTTTAGGACTCATTGCCTGTCAAACTTGAGACACTAGAAGAACCAGAAGAGGCTTGGGAGTAAATAGTGTGCCTTAACTGAGTGTTATCCATGCCCAGATGGATTATTGTTTTTACTTTATGACTCTATTATCATTTTAAAGAAATTCTTATCTAATAAAAATTTAAAATTATTTTTCTTTTTGTGATTTTTAAATTTTTAAAATATATCCTCTTCATGCACATTGTTGGCTTTAAAATACACATTTCTGTAGAGCCTTTAAATCTCTTCCTTATCTATAGTGCTTGGACTCTGTCTTGAACATCATGCTCTATTTCTACTCCTTCATCCAATAGATGCTTATTAAGTGGTTTTGTGACAAATGGGGATAGATGCTCCTTTCTGTCTATCTCCTCTTTTTTCTCATATATTTACATCATGGATTTCAACTTTAACTTACTATTTCTAAGGCATCAGGAAGATACTGTATATAATATAACATATCCCATATGTAATATTTTTACAAACATTTTATATAATTACTCATCATGTGTAATTATAAGAGTCCATTCATAAACTAGAAGTTGATTCATTTCCCTGGCTTCTTCTTGATCAGTTTGATCTGTGCTCAGGATGCAAAATATTAGCAATTACTTTGTCCGAAGGCATAGGGTTAGTGATTGTGTATCTCAAGTACCTGGTTGGAATTGAGTGAAGGGTTAAACGAGAGAATGGTAATCCACACACACACTCTTCTCTCCTCTGGTAGCTCAGTTATAACAATAGAGGAAGAGTAGGGCTCACTCTACTTAGTGGTTCTTCCCTCTTTTATGTGTACATATCTTCTTTCGTCTAGATAATGCAGTCAACATCTCCTTTAGTTGCCATAAAGAAAATGAAACACTATGGTGATGAAATCCTAATAGCTATTTGCAGTTGCTCTCAAGACTCCAAATATCTAAGTAGTTAGAAATGAGGAAAAGGATGAGAAAGAAGATGCTTGGGGCTTGGTAAACTTAGGTGGACTGCTTGAGCATTATCCTGAGGAAGGACATTAAGTCTCTCTGATCTTGGACAGGAGATATTCAAGATGTGGGTTAAGAAAGTCATGTTTGAATAAAGGGTTAAAAAGACTTTTAGGAAAGAGATGAAAGAAAAAGCTCATAGCTCATAAGAAACACCACCGCTGTTGAACTACGCCACTGAATTTCAGAGATGGAATAACTGTAAGTCACACTTTAAGCTATACTGTCTAGAACTTGAAAGATTTATGAATAGGCCCACAAGCAGCCTTTAGAATTTACAGAGGTGGTCTCTGTATTTGTGAAGTGGTGGCACATATACAGAGAACACAGCTCTCTGGACGGTGCTTTAGACGAAGTCAGGCTTCATGGACAAACCTGTGCTCCAGGGAGACATCAGAGACACCAACATATCACTATTCTAATGATAAGCACAGAAGTCCACAAACATCAGGGGAAATCAAAGTTTATATAGAGCTATTGTCAAAAGCAGTTTGTGATAATAGATGATACTTTTAACATATATAAGCAATAATCTTTGATTTCAACTTTATTTGGGAGAGAAGGTAAGTCCCTTAAATATGGAAAAAGCACATTTCTAAAAGTTACATAGTCTTTGGGTTCTATGTAAGACAGGTGTAGACAACAAATAACAAAACTGGAATCACATTTTCTATTCTATCACATAAAGTCCTGGAAGAAAATGTAAATCTGTTTGACAGTATGTGCTTCTCAGGAGCTATCATTCTCTTAGAGGAGGGATAAACTTCCGCTTTATTCAGTATGCCTCTTTTGTTTAAGAAATACTCTCTTCCTTTGAAAAATTCAGTAAGTTAAATAGTCTTTTAGATGATGGATTCAAGTTGACATTCTGAAGAAAAATCAACGACTGAAAAATTCAGCATATCACTTCTATTCTCTAGTTTTTGTTTGAAAGTCCAACCTGTGGGTGGGATTTACAGGTATTACATAAGTCACTGGTGACTTATTTACATAAGTGACTCATGTAAATCAAACACACCAAAATGGACACGAGCTAAAAATAACAACACAGTCGCTTTAACTGGACTTGAGTGAATTGAGTTAGCCAGTGTGTAGATGTCTGTAGTGTAGTGCTAGCCGAAAGCACTGTTTTCTCTCAGTGAGCATCTCTGCATATCCTTGCTTTGAAAACAGGGAGAGGCATGGCAGGAGATGAGGGAGAGGAAGGGAGACTGGGAGGGGACGAGGGAGGGGCTACAGCTGGGATACAGTCAAAAAAAGTGAATCAAATGTAATAAATAAATAAATAAGTAAAAAGAAAAAAAAAGAAAACTAATGTTGGCCTTTGTCATCCGACTCCACTCCTGCTGCCTCAGAGGTAGTAATGAGCACTGGCTGTGGCCCTGTCACTGGGATTGCTCAAGCAGGCGACACAGCTTATTATATCTTCTGCTGTGAGAGTGGCCTTTATGGCCAGAGTCATGACTCTTAAAGTTCTTTTATATCTATAACTCCAGACTTTGTTATTTCAGATCTGTATCTGGACTTCAAAAGAGAGGGAGAGGCTCTGAGATACTTTGACACTAGAACAATTGAAATTGATCTTTCCACTTCCAGGAACGTTTTTCAAAGGTTGGTGGTAGTTGAATGCACCTTGATAGGCTGAGTATCTCCAAGCAGGAAAAGGGGTCCCACATCAATGTCTGGATCCTTGGGGTAGATATTTGGTTTTACATGATGTTGGAAGTGTCGATAATTCCACCAGCCAACAGACAGGCCCTGGGAAGAGAGAATTCATTAACTAATGGAATTTTCTCACCAAGTAACCCTCGTTGTTAGAGTGCTCTGCATCTTCACCTTGAAAGAAGAGGTTTGGCTTCTCTAGTTGATGTTGCTGCTGGGCCACAGAATCACTTGTTAAAAAGAGGTGCTCAGGGCTTATGAAGAAATCATTTTCCAATTCAAGGACAAAACTGAAGACTAAAAAGAACTGGGAATGGAAACATAATCTACTCATATGGAATGATTTTCCAGGCTTCTTTTATAGGAACCTAATCTAAAAATGATTCAGAAGGTAGATGAAGTAGTGAGTCTTATTTTTATTTTATATAAAGGAGTCTTAATTAGTTCTGGGGAAAAAGTGGCCCTAGGTATGAGACTTCAATAAATGTTTCGAAGAACTATGAATATGAAGTGTTCTCCTTAGAGGACTCTGCTTAGATCATTCTAAGTCCCAGCTTAACACTCTCCTATGAAAATAAATGAGAATAAAAGCGTTATTGCTGTTGACAAGCTAGAATCATATTTGATTAAGCTGCTAATAATTTTCTCTCTTACTCCAAGTCTGAGCATTTTAATAAAGCAAAAGGTTTGGAGGTCTCTCTCCTGTTTGTATACTAGCTTTTAGATGCTGACGTGTAGGCTTTGTTGAATCACTCATCTTCATTGAGGCTTGATTTCCTATGAACATGATGGCATTTAGTTCCACTGGTGGCTGAAGGAGATAGGAGATGCTGGAGTTACAATGCTGGGTTTCTTTAAGAAACTCAGTTTCTTCTCGTTGGTGTTAATTGCTTATAGAAAACTGAATAGCAATAATATTTTACTGTGTATCTACTATCTTCTAGTAATTAATGTATAATATATAATACATACATACTATATATCTAATATCTCATGTATATATATGAGACACAGCTCTATCCAATACAGAAGCTCTGTCTCTATGTGGATAGATAAACTCAGTGTCAAAATTTTCTTTGAAGAATAAATAAAAAAATAAATGCAAATTATTTCATCAGTTTTTATGTTGGTCACAGATTTAAGTCATAATATTTTGGATATTATGTTATAGTTATAAGTAGGCAGTTTAAGTATGAAATGTAAAATTTAAGATGAACAGTGTCATTTAAAACATTCATTTTGAGAACTTAATACATCAACATGGTTCTCTATCATTCTCAGTCTCTAACCACTTTTGTGTCCCTAACTCTCCCTCCCAATTTCATGACCATTTCTTTAATAATTACTGTTACACGTACACATATACACTCATGCATACATATAGAGCCTACTGAGTTCATTTACTCATGTTTACAATTATGTACCTACTTAATCATCTACCTACTCAAAAACATGCAGAGCGGGATGTGACATTCCTCTTTCCCTCCAATACTCCCTAACACTTTCGTAGTGGGGCGTCTAGCTCCAGTTCATATCTTTTGCCTGCCTGCCTGAGCAGCCACTTTTCAGATGCTTCCCTCTAGGGTGTCTTATGGTTACTCAGACTTGTTCTGTCCCAAGCTGCGTTTATCACTTGCCTGTCGGGTCCCATTACGTTCTGTCCTACTCCTGTCAATCTATACACTTAAGGTTTCACTCACTTATTCACTCATTTGTTATTTATTTTGAAGTATGTCAGCTATATCAGATTCTGAGCTTGGTAGGTACTTGTGACGCTAAGAAAGATGTGATATAACGAGGTTCCCACACTAGTAACATACAATCTACTGGGAACAGCTGACAGCCAAATGCAATGATAAGAAATGATTCTCCTTTTAAATATCTCTTCCCGCAGCTGACATTTGGCCTCTTCCTCCAGCTGACTCTACTCTTTTAAGCAGTGATTGCCTGTGGTAACTGGTAACATGGGAAACAGGTTTTAGTGCTCAGTAGATCAAGAAACAGATCTTAATGGTACAAAGCCCTGGAGGTTGGAACAGTGGCCAACTTAACGATGGGTGTGATCTAAACAACCAGGTCTGCCTGAATCCCTGAACATTCTTACCAGAGACAGAGGAGAGTTCTTTACGGGCAGCAGAGGGTGGTCAGCCATGTGCCTGGCTACCCTGAGACCATTCTAAATGGGGCCTCCTTCGGTAAGCCCTTATTCCTAAGCTATGTCCCTCGTCCAAAGCAGGAGAAAGAATCTAGTCTTTTGACTGACGTCAACTGGAATTTAAATTCTTGTTTGGCTTTCTACTAGGTGTGTGACTTTGGAAATTTCCTTAGCCAGAAAATGAATATAGTTCTGAGGATTATAGGAAGCAACTGCTTGAAACTTCCTCTTCCTTACCCCCCCCCCCCCAAATTTTTTATGATATAGTCATAGACTATAGTCAGGCTAAGTCTTAATCTCAAATATTCTGCTCCATTATCTCTATGATGATACTGTGATTCTTACTATTTATAAAATGTTTGTATGGGAAGATCTTGAAAAAATGTTACATGCCCATTTCAAATATTTGGGGCATTAGTAGCTTTAATTTTATTAAAAATCTTTTTTGGAATATATGTACATATACAATAGCATATGAAGATGAGAATTAAATATAAATATAAAACTCATCCGTTTCATGTACACCTGGTCCTGGAGAGAAATTTATTAAGTATTTTAAATAATTTTTGGCATAAAACAAAAAAGTTTCATAGTATGGAATTTTTTATTCGTGTCATCACCTTGATGTTAAAATTTATTTCTATTTTGAAACACTTCATATTTGTATTTTTAAATTAAGAATATTTGATATGTATAAGAATGAAAATATATGTAGACATTTCATATTTCATTTTCAGAAAAATGTCTGAATGTCTGCATACTCTAAACACTAGAACACACACAAACACACACACACACACACACACACACACACACACACACACACACACA